TTCATCTACTGAAGGGCATCTAGTTTGGTTCCATAATTTAGCTATTGTGAATTGTGCTGCTATAAACATTGATATGGCTGTGTCCCTGTAGTATGCTGTTTTAAAAGTCCTTTGACTATAAACCACGAAGTGGGATACTTGGGTCAAATGGTGGTTCCATTCACTCCAAAAAATTGTTGGAGTGATCAATTTTTGCCTGTATTTGCTCATTTAGGTCATTCTTTAATTCACAGATCATTTTAGTTATGAACCTTCTGAACTCCTTCTCTGATATTTCAACAATTTGCTGTCCATGGGTTCTGTTATTGTAGTATCCTGGTTTGTTTGGGGCACATTTCCTCCTTTGTTTTTTTCATGTTGTCTATGTGTCTTCTTTTCTTGCAGTGTGCATCCTGGACCTGGGTCCCGAGCAAGTTGGTGAGGGCAGATCTGGTCCGTTCAGTTCCTGACCTCCAGTGGTAGTCTGCGGTTGAAAAAGGGGCAGTCCTGTGCCAGAGGCTGGGCCCCAGTGAGTGTCTGCCAGTGGCAGGATGGACTGGGGCCTACTATGAGCCTGGGTCCTGCTCAGGCTGGTATGGGCAGATCTGGGCCAGGCCTGCCCTCCTGCTCCCTAGTCTCACAAGTCCAGATTTTAAAACAGCATTTTTATACAAATTGACAAGTGACACCAAAATTTATATGGAAATTAAAAGTCAAAAAGAGCCAAAATAATTTTGAAAAATGAAGAAAAAAATTTGTAGGACATGCAGTGCCTGATTTCAAGATTTGCTATAAAATAATCAAAATAATTTGGTATGTCATAAGGATAATGGCACAACAGAATCTAGAAATAGACCCAAACATATTTGGTGAATTGACTTTTGACAAATATTGTATGATAATTTAATAACAAAATAATGGTTTTGCAAGAAAATAATTATGGATAGCCAAACAGAAAAAAATATACTCCCTATACATCACATGATATCCATTAATTTGAATGGATCATAGAAATTATACAGAAACAAAATTAAAAATATGGTAGCCTCTATGTCTGAGGTTGGGAGTGTAATTGAACATTTCTGATCTGTGATTTTAATTGAATGTGAATTATACCTCAATTAAAATTTTCTGAAAACAGAATGGTAAATTATTCTCCATATGAAGTTAGCAGTAGTTGTACAATCTGTTCAATCAAATAGGCTTGCAACTGGAAACTTGGGAGACGATACCCCAAATTTATCTTTTTGTTTATTTTTTAAAGTATTTTAACTGTCAAAGCTTTTGAGTGATAATTGGGATTTTGATTGATTTATCTTAGATTATTCATACAGAAAAGGGTTATAAAATTAAGAACAAAACACACAAAAAATAAAACCTTTTTTTCTCAATGAGAAAGTATAAGAAGTCTTTATGAAGTCTTCATAATTGAACATTTACTCTTTAGTGTAGTGCCTACTTCTCCCAACCACATCTCTTCTATCACAATTGCACATTATGTCAGCATTACTTGCATATGTGTCTGAACCTTGCAAGGGCCACTTAATTAAAGTTCACCAGCATAATAAGTGGAGCCGGAAATTCTCATAAAAAATTTATGCATGTGGGCTGGGGATGTGGCTCAAGCGGTAGCGTGCTCGCCTAGCATGCATGCGGCCCGGGTTTGATCCTCAGCACCACATACAAACAAAGATGTTGTGTCTGCCGAAAACTAAAAAATAAATATTAAAATTCTCTCTCTCTCTCTCTCTCTAAAAAAAAAAAAAAAAATATGCATGCAACTGAAATTGACTGCAGATGCATGTCGCTGAATCTCCTCATTCACTGATAATAGTAAAGAGATGGTACCCAATGTTACCAAAACAGACAATAACAGATTTAGGGTCTAAGACCTGGCTTCTAGATTATAGTCTGGGGCTTCTAACACTATGCAGCATAACCTCCTCTATCTGAGCCTCACCTATCATCTGACACTTTGGGAGAAGATTGATATTTCTTATCCACCAATAGACCTTTCCCTAACCAGCAGAAATGCTTTAATCCCGATAGGTTTTTGGCTGATATACTATCAGGCCTGTCCCTGAGGATAGAATATGGCTGTTCATGTACAGAACCGTCTGGGTCAGGAAATACAAATTAAGAATTTAACCTGGAGACAAAAGAGGTAATTGTGGAAATCAGTGTTGTCAGGGTCTTCCTGGCTTGCTTTCTGGATTTTTCAAAGACTTTTCTCTCTCCATGTCACAGCCATGTCTCCATATGGAAGGAAAGATAGTCACTGACAACTGTATGCCTATATGCATCTCATTTGTTATTGTCCATATGACACATTTCATGGGAAAATTCACTTGGAAGTATTGGAGACATATAACCACCAAAGGACATTCACTGTGCTTGTAGAACATGTCTTACTGTAGACTTAGCCAAGAAGAGACAAGATGTTTGCATTCTATGGCTACACTGGGAATCTAATATGAAGAAAGGCTTTCTCTAAGGAGAAGAAGCTTTGCAGAGAAAAAGTGTATTTTCTTCAGTCACAAAAGGAAAACTCCCTCAATAAACTGGAAGCCCAAGCATATGCAGTGCCTTTCTAAGGTCACTCAACATTCCAGGGCACTGATTCCTGCCAACTACATTTCCCAGGCTGCTTTGCCAATGGAGTACCTTCCAGGTTCAACCAGTGGCAGGATTTTGAAAAGTGGGAGAAAAAGAGAAAAAGAGGTATTTCCCCCTCTCTGCTTCTGGAGGAATCCCTAGCAGTAGCTGTGTCCTCCTGCTTGTCCCATCTTCTACTGGGCATGCTCACTGTGATATCAGCCCCCTTGCAGCTCAGGATCCCGACCTCTAATGAAAGCTCCTCTAGGACTCTGTAGCCCTGAGCATGGCAGCAGTTCCATCTAGTAACTATAATTGTGTCATCCCATCCTTCCTCATTTGACAGTTTGGTTGTTCTAATCCGGTGTAATTCGTCCCCCATGTTACATTCCCTCTCTCAAATGACTGCACATGGGTTTTGCTTTTCTGACAGAACTCTGACTAAGGTGGCAAAGAGGGGGCAATCCCCATGTAAGGATGAGACTGCCCAAAGAGAAAGGCTCTATGTTTGGTTGACTCAGTGAACCTCCAAGGTGGAAGAAACAATTGGTTTACAGACCAAGAGTGGATGGGCAGGTTTGTTTTCAATGCCTGAAATTACTTCTGTTTACATTAAGCTCAGGGTCAATGCAGACCCATGGGAATTCTGAAAGAAGGAAGGTAACAGGAGCACTTTCCTTTTGGAATGTGGTCCCCGTATCAAATAGCCCAGAGGAAATGCAAAATACCCAATAATCAGACTAAACAGGACCCAAGTGATTCTCTTAACATCACCTGCGTATGTGGGCAGGTCATGAGTGTCCCCTAACACTGGCAAGACTCCTACTTCTTCCTCCTGCCCACCTACTGTATATTGTTTCCTTGTTTCTAAAACATCCTTTTCAATCAGGCCATCTCCTGGGGAGGAGCCCTGACTCCTCCAACCTCCCAGCTACTGGGTGTGCCCTTACACTTCCAACCTGGCTGCAAGCCTCACTGGACTGTGAGATGCAGCTGAGTGGGGGAGCAGTGCAGAATGTGAGGTGTGACTTTGGAGGCCAGATTTCTGTATCCTCTTTGTGATGGGTTCTAATCTTTGCAGTCTCACATCATTGGGTCTCTTGGGGAAAATTAAAGGAATTGGACCAAATGCCTACAATATTAACTCTAATATTTCATATTCTCTGATTCTGTAATTAAAGGTGACAAATCCAAATTATAACTACTGTTTCATCAGTACTGTTGAAACTGTTTAAGTCACACCTTGCTATCTTGACTGACCTTAAAAGTACCTTCTGAGTACTTGGTATAGACATCTGAGGTCATTCTAAGTTGCATCTTCTCTTACTTAACATCTCTGGTTAGAAAGATTTCATGGTAAAAGAATCATGTTTTTTTTTTTCTTTTTTCAGTTGATCATTTTGCTTTCAAAAGTATGTAAGAAGTGTTATTTTTTTTTAATGATGACATTTCAAGGTCAGAATTTTGTGTTTACTAATTCTTTGTATTTGAATCATTCATCAAAGACCCTTCTTATTTGTTTTCTTTTTATAGATGCGGGAAGGGTAGTACTGACATTTTTGGTCCCCAGCTGACATTAATACACTGAGAGGGTAAGGGGACTGTCTCTGGTGGTATATCTGGATATCTAGAACAGGGTGTTCATGGAGGCAAGGATCTTTTCATTGATGGGGTGTGGGGGTGAGTGTCTGTTTTTTCACTGATGTTTCCACAGTGCCCACAACAGCGTCTGTCACATTAGCAGGTTTCTATTAAGCATCAGTTGAATTGATAATTGAACAAATGCATTTGATTATGGCAGAGCTGAGTCTAGAATTCTCTACACCCTCAGTCATTGCTTCTTTAGTACAGACAAGAGTTGGCCTACGTTCTCGCACACCCCCAATTTTCCTTTGTCATTTCTTGATGCACCTGTCGTTATATTATTAGACCAGGTCACTGAGCTTTCTCCATTGAGGGGGTCCCTGGAGCCCCTGCCTCACAGGGATATTTGGAAGGAAAAGAGGGTGGTCAAAGGCGGGCTCCTCCCTGAGAACCTAAAGCTAGTGTCCCGATTTCCCAGGGAAGGTCTGCTGTCCCCTATGCTTAGAGCGTTGGTCTCACTTTGCTTGGTGGAGGGTCACAGTTGTCTAGGGAAAGGTCCTGTGGGGAGGACGCCCTGTCCCTGCAGCCCCAAGGCCTTCTTTGGCCTTGGCTGGGCGGGGCTCTCCGAAGCTCCCAGCCTCGCGGTTGTCCCCGCTGGGCCGCCGGCTGGCTGCGGCAGGAGGCGGGGCCACCGCGCTCCCCCTCCCCGACACTGCGGCGGTGGCAGCGCCAGCCCAGCGGCGGCCGCCCACGGGCTCGCGGAACCGGGCGGGACCTGCGCGGGGCGGGGAGGAAGGGCAGGGGCGGGGCGGCCGCGCTGGGAGCCCGCTGCTGGGGCGCCGCGCTCAGACTGGGCGGGCGCTCGGGCTGCGCGGGCTCTCGGCGGCAGCGGCAGCAGCAGCAGCAGCATCCTCTCTGCCTTTTCTTCCCTTCCGCTTCTTTCTTTTCCTTCTCCTCCTTTCCCCCTTCTTCCCCTGCCCCGTCCCCCCCTCAACTTCTCCAGAGGGCCAGAGCCCTCCAAGTCCGTGAGCAGTGGCAGCCGCGACCGTGGGTCCGTTCTGTTACTGCGCCCAGGTAAGGGATCCGTCCCCACCTCTGGTCCCATTAGAGCGCCTGTCCTTCAGCCTTGTTCTTGGCGAGGAGGGAACCTCTGCCAGGACCCAGCGGAGCGAGGTTGTCTGGTCCGCTGTGACTTGGAGGCAGTGGGAGGGTGGCGGACCTGTCCAGTCTCCCCCCTGGCGGAAGCTTGGGGCCCGACCTCTCCAGGTGTCAGTACCCAGCAGCGGAGCGAGCGCTGGCACCTGGGCTCTAGATTTGTAGAAGAGCGAATGACCTTGTTAGGTACCACTTTGAAACGACTGGAAACTTGCGCCAGGTAGGATTCATGTTTTGAGAGCTAATATTACCTGAGCTGTAGAAAGAAGGGCCGTGAACTAGACAAAGATAATGGGGAAAAGGAATTGGAAGCAGAGGATTTTTTTTTAATTTTATTTATTTATTTATTATTATTATTTTTTTTGCCCATCCAGGCGCAGAGAACTGCACACTGACAGGGAGGGAGGGAGGCCTTGTCAATTTCAAACCATTTATCCCTGTAATTCCTCCAGAGACAGCTGGGAAAGGAGGACTGATACATGTTTATAATTTTAGGAAGATGAAAATCGATGTCTGGTCGCGTTGGAGGGCGGGGCATGAAGAAATGAGTCCCGTTGAGATGGAGCTTCCACAGCCCCTTTTTCCTCTTCTTTTTAAATGATGGGGGTGGAAAACTGTATATACTGTCCATTTATTCTTTTCTTCATTTCTAAAGGCTTTCTTGGGGTAGGGTGGGGGCTACTGTGCTGACTCCCTTCCTCCCCCAACCTGTCTTTTGTTTAGGATGGAAATTTCAAGAAAGAGTGTTTGAGGGGCCCAGGGAGAGGGGTGGTGTGTGTTTGGGTGTGTGGGGAGTCGGAGGGAGTAGTAAAGAGAATGGAGTCAGAAAACACCATGCTTGAACCCTGGAAATTGATGTCCTAGCACCAGGACTTCAAGATTTTATCAGAAAATAAAAAGCTTTGGTTAGCAACAAGCTCCTTGGTGACAATTGCTGTATGCCATCTGTTTTAAGACCTTAGCATAATATGCTTCCAGAACACAGACCCTTTAAAACTCAGTGTGAAACCTTTTTGTTTAAGCGTACATACACATATGTAAGCACACATATATAACACACTATAAACATGTTACAAAAGGGAGTAAATACTTATCGTTTTAAATTTATCTTAAAGGGTTTGGGATATTTTATGAATGAAATTTGTAGTGCAAAACAAAAAATATTGTTGGGTGATAATATAATTTGGGATGTGAAGTAATGTTAGCAAAGAACTAACTTAAATGTTAAAAAAATATTTCTTTTCAATGATGGTGTGTTAGAGGAAGGACTGCAAACTGAAATTGAGGCTTGCATCCACAGTGAGGCGATGGAGAACAAAGCCTTTTATGTGAGCCACATTATGCAAAATGTCCCTATGATGAGCTGCAGGTACAGCCCAGTTTAAAAGCATAGCTCTGTCACCCTGTCATTTTAATGTGAGCAATTATGATTTTTTTGGCAGTCAAAATAGATTGAATAAATAGAAACTCTTTAGAATGCTTTTGATTTTATGCCCATGAGGAAGATTAGAGCCTTCCACCTGAATGTAACAAAAACACTCCTTTAGCTGAGCAAAGTGGGTTTTGGTAGAAATCCTTTTGAATTTGTAAATCATGGGTGTTTCAATCACTTTCCTCCATGCACACAAAGCATCTCCCCTTCAAGAAAAGGTAAAAAGCATTCTTTTTCTTTCAGTACTGTTATTTGTGTGTACGTGTGTGTGTGAGTTGACAATTAATTTTCTAGTGATTTTATCTGATTTTCACAGGTTTACATCTGCTTGTCTGATTTGGATATTATCAGAGCTCTTGTGGTTCTATGATCTGTGGTATATGCTGCTTATCTGTCATTTAATTTTTTTTATATTTCACAGTTTTTATGTTATTTAATTTCCAAAGTTTTTTTTTTTTATTGTTGTTGTTATTTACTTGCATCAGTGGGAAATTGCTTAACATACACCAGAACATATAAGCAATGTAAAAATTGTGCTTCCATTTAAAAAATAATATTTCAAAGGCATTCATTATTTTCTTTGTTTCTCTCTTGTCTGAACCACCCACCCCTTGTTATCAAACCCGTTTCTTCCTGGCTGTGCCTGTGCTGCTTTAGGCTTCTAGTTATGTCTAGACTACCAGAAGCAGAGCCAGGATTTGTTCACTCTCTGTGACAACTCTTTCTCAGGATGACTTGTTTACAGCACCTTCTCAGGGAGGAGAGGGAGAAAGAATGTGCTGAGAGAGCATGACCCAGTGAAACTGGCAGAGCCATTACCTCATCAGAGTAGGTCCTGCAGCCTCACTGAGGGAGCAGGCATCCTCTCAGTGGAAACCAAACCCCAGAAGCACACCCATCTGGGGCAGAAGCTTTTCTCTTCCCACAGCTGCCTGCACTGATGTAGCTCTGCTGAGGTTAGAGGGATATTTTCTCTTTTATGTGTTTCTCTTCAGGGATCTTGAACTTGGTCAGAAATATGCAACCAGAAATGAAACTTGGCACAGAATCCTCTAAGCCTGAAGGAATAATTTCATTCCTTTACCCCTTTTGGTTTAAACCAATTTGCAAATTTTCAGAATATCAGAAAGAAGAAAAATGCTTATTGGTATATTGCTTGTTTTATGTTGAATTTTACTAGCTATTAGATAACAGACTGGACTGTTGTGCTTTTGACAAACACACTTGTACTGTTGGCATATAAAGTTAAGTAGTTATTACATTCTCTTGGGTGTGTACATGAAGGTAAGTTTGTCTCTGAAAGATGTGTCAATGTCCATGTGAGATGACCAACTTGGGGATTTTAGAATTCAAGTTCGTAACTCTGACTGTTGAATTCTTTCCAGTGCTTAATATCCTCTTGACAGATTACAATAAAGAATCTAAAATAACAGTTACAGTAGAAGATGATACTACCCAGATCAATACAACACTCCCAAATGCTAAAAGTAGTCAATTTAGGTAAATCACTAATTAGTAAATGCATAAACCTAAAGATAACAGTTTTGAGCTCTTGCCTTTATATAGATGTTAAAGATGCTAATAAACTCTTGCAGTCATATGTGATTATCTCAGATGTGTTAGCTCTTTTTGTTTTTTCAGTTCTACATCTTTACTATTGTCTTTGCCATGATCTACTACATCTAGACTTTTTTATGTAACAGAAGTATTTTTATCATTTCACTAAATTTTTTTCCCTCCTCTTCACCATTCTGTTTCATTTGTCATTTGAACGTTAGACTTAGTTTTTCTAGGTGTTCTGGTTTCAGTGCTCAAACTTTCTTGGTACAAATTTGCCCTTTATCTTTTACTTAGGGGAACATTCATTCCCATTTATTCATTCATTATGAGAAATGAATTTTTTTTCTCAAAGAATTGTTAATCCCAGGAATTGACTTCAGCCACCAAAATCAGTTGAAAAGCTACAAATTAAGATGAAGTGCATAAAGGGCCCAAATCTGCAGGCAAGTTTGGGTGGGTGGGTGGGTGGGGTAGGGAAAGATGAGTAAGGAGAGCAAAGTCTCCCCTGGTTCATGTTTGTCCCTACAGGATGAAGATGAGCTTGTGTCTGTGTTGGTGGAGAGGGGAGAAATCTGTTTTGCTTTTTACCTCAGCGTAACATTTTGTCCCATTCCTTCCCTCATCATTGCTTTGAACAAAGACCGTGGGTGCTTCCTTGTAAACATGATACAGGATGCTTATTGGAAGCCATTCTGTAGTGAATTAAAAATTTTAAAACAATGTGAACATAGTTGACTTTTTATGAAAAACACTTTGAATCTAATTTTGAACTTTTTGAGCCTTCCTGTTGGAAAGCTAAGCTATCCTTCAAGTGGTACTACTTTAACTGTGATATCTTTTACCTATACATTTTAGTGGAATTTTGTGGAAATTTAGACAAAATAAAGAATTCAAAATCCTCCTTCAGTGGATTGTTGCTGATTGTGCTTATACTGTGGACATAGAGGAAAGGTTTAAACTCTTTGTTTTCCATTAAAACATACACCCGAGGGAGCAAATTCAAAGATATATGTTTTTACATTTTGTTATGTTAACAATCCTTTTAGAGCAAATAATTTATTTTTAAGAGCACACACCACTTGGTTACTTCTCTTCATTCTTTTCCTCTTTTCTGTCTTCCCTTTTTTTTCTCCATTTTTTCCTTTCCATTCTTTCTCCTTTTCTTCTTTTGCTGATTTCTTTTGATTTGTATTTCGGGGTGGGATCACCGATTAAGGGAAAATGAAAATACAGCCTGCTGTGTTGGTTGAAGTTGATTTTTCATTGAATCGGTATTTCTCATTTAACATTCAGTCTTATGCTAACTTCTTTTCCTTCTCCAGGTTTCATCCCTACCATGGTATCATCTTTTCACTTATTTTTATATCTCCTAGAATTAAACAATCTTCCTTGTGTGCCAACCTTGGATCATATGCTACACCTCAAAAAGATCTTTCCAAGTTAGGAAGAAATGTTACTACTTTGTTCTTCCCCCATTAATCTGTACCCAAGTTTATCCAGTGTCCATACTTTATAGATAGCTGCTCATTGCAACTGTGCCCTCATCAGCTTTCTTAAAACACTTTAGAAAAAATATGCTGGCAAAAAAATGGTAGATCTGTACAACTAATGTTTTCAAACTGAAAAATTTGATTGACCAATTGACATTTCATTTTTTGTTTCACCTGACACCAAATAAAATAGTTCAACTATTTTTTTTAATTTAAAAGCTAAATGAACTAGCAAAGTCATTATGTGTCATGCAGACCATTGTCTTCTTTTTATGCTAATTAGCTGATTCCACTGATATAAACCTAGTAAGTCAAGCAATGGCTACTCTAGTATCAATCAGTAAATGTTGAACCAAATTTATTTAGTTTGAATTAAAGTATTTCTAATTATATTAGTCTGTACAACATTATTATTTGTCTTGACTCTAACTCAAAAT